GGGGGATAGCAGGAACCAGAAAGTTCCAGGAGAACTCAATAGGTATTAGGCCAAAAGGAAACCGCCGTCGCCTCCTTGTGAGATTCAGCTCTGAATCTCTTTATCAGACAAACTTTCATTCGACACGGAATTGATCTCAGCAAATATAAACCGAGAGGTTGTTCGAAACACTAATTTATTTGCACTACTTCATACAGAAAATAAGTAATACCTTTGGTAGTAGGTTCAATGACCATATTTGAGAGAGATCTAACTACCCGTAAAATTCACATCTTTCCTGTGTCCTATATGTGACCACATGTGGCTGCGTAGCCGAGTGGTAAAATGGCGTCACAATGCTCACGAACTGGATTCGAATCCCTCTGGAGGGAGGGATTCGAATGCTTTTCCCCCGTTTTGCCTTCCAAAAATCTCTGTCCATGTCCGGTTTCGTGTGCCTGGTAAATCAGTAACATCATCCACATGCACATAGTCCATCATAGGGCGGATTTCAGGGCCCAGCTCAGTCACAAGGGATCTTTTACTTTCACACGAAGTTTGCAGAGGAATGATTCGGATGCCCAAGTGGGGATCACCTTAAAGCTACTTCAGATGGTATCGCCTCCGTGATTGACGGACCAGACGCTATCACATGCTAGAGTCCAAAAAAAATTTCCTTATCAGTTCGTCTGTTCTATGTATGTATGCATTAAGGTAAATGTGCATGTGTACATATGCATGTTTGTATGTATGTATGTATGTATGTATGTATGTATGTATGTATGTATGTATGTATGTATGTATGTATATGTAATGAATAAATGAATAAATGAATAAATGAATGAATGAATGTATGTATGTATGTATGTATGTATGTATGTTATAATATACGCATGCTTATGGGTATGCATACATATATTTATGCATTTATGTATATATGTGATATTGCATTTTTCGTATTTTTAGCCTCCGGAATCAGGCCAAAAGAGGGGAAGAAAGAAAGTTTCAAAATGAGGTTTGTATTAGTATGTTTTAAGTAATTATAGGCCAGTATTTCTGGCTTTTTTCCAAAAATATTTCATTGTTACCTTTTTAAACTTTATATTTATCCATTTTTAATTATCACTTGATATATAAGTATCACAAAATCGAACTTATAGAAGCTATTGCCTATTAAAAGTATTATCTACAAAAATCTAATTTGAAATAATGGTAAATTGTAATGTATCTAGAAAAGTTTCTGATGCAAACAATTGGGTGTAGTTAACTTACACGTAGAGTGATAGATAAGTCTGCTTAAATTTCAGTTGCCAACATCAACATTTGCGATGGTTTGTGAATGAAGACGATCGTTTGTGAACAATTCCTCATCAATTTGTCCGGCAGGCTTCTATATGATCTTTTTGATCTCCCGAGGGATCGTAGAAATTATCTCTGGACTATTTTATCTTCCACTCTGCCACACAGTAAACCACATTACTTTCATCTTATCAGTAGTATAACAAATACTATCTTCTCTTTCGGAGAATAATATCTCAGTGAGTCAAGGGCAATGCTGAATTTTATAGTTTACGTCTACTTCCGATGACTTTGTTTCTATTCCATATTTCGTGGCTCAAAATGAAAATGTACAGTTGCGAACGCTATGCAGTCCATCTGGAAATACTTTAGCCTAATGTCTTACCGCTAACATTGTAGACACACCATCAAACTGGAATTTAGGCAAATTGAATACAGCTTTTAGATAAAATCTGGTCTAAACGTATTTATGGAATATTCAATTTAATTACTAGAAAATGTCCCTCTTTTATTGCCATTACTGCAGGCAAGTTTCATACTTTGGATTGATAAGAGAGGCCTGACTTCCGACCGTGCGACAGAGCAATCGGGGCTAGTTCTTAAAATTACTTGGTGATCTGGACAACAATGCAAGTCGTCGAAAACACAGTTTCTGGTGCACTTGCTAGGCTTAGACTGTGAACGCTGTCTCAGCGGCTTCAACGTTGAGCTTGGCAGAAGTATGCTCTCTCGTGGTAACGAGAAACCGGCTGTTAAGGAGGATTAGGAGGATGGGGATGGTGGAAACCGGATGAGCCAAATAATGAAGGAGAGCATAGGCAGAATGTACAGAAGCAGCTGCTCCCAAAGGAGGCTGAGACGAGATTGAGGAATGTTGGAGAAGGAAGGTTGAACCTTCAGAGTCCTCCCTTTTCTGGTGGATTTCGACCGGATAGGTCGGTGTAGGGTCTTGATTTTCTGAACTTCGTCCTTAGCTACTGGTTGTTGAGCAAAATCACATTAAATCACATGAAATCACATCGAACTAAATCACATAAAGTGTGAAATTAAGTAATACCAGTATCCTGGCTAATGGCAAGATTGGGATTCATTCGACCGGACGCGAGGCAATCTTACCACTTTCCTGTTTTCTCTTCTTCCACGCAGGATCCAGGAGTACCCGGGGCTGACAGACCACTTCGTAGACGCCGACGCCACCAACGGTTACCGTCCGGCCTCGACAACATGTCAGGGCATATCGCCATCGGCGTCGCTGCACTCGAGAATTGCAGCACAGGCTCATTCGACCGAGCTGCCAATGCAGACTGGCGTCAACTTGAGAATAAACGAAGCGGGCTCCATTCGTAGCTACCAACAAGGTGGGCCTCTCTCTCAGTCTTGCTCGCTTTTTGAAGCAAGATCTGAGGCAAAGAGAGCATGAATGATCGCAAGAGAGTGAACATTTCACATATTTGGTCGACATATTGCGGCAGACAAAGGTTGGGAAAGACAATAGGAAGAGGAGAAAATGGTAGGATGCAGTAAAGTTGCAAAATGGCGATATAATACAAGGATTGTGTACTTTAGAATTTGTTTAACCTTTGGTTTTGCAACTTGTTCATATTGGCAGGAAGACCGAGAGGAGTACACGTTTTCCGGAGACCATTTTGTGTATGATCCTTTCCACAGTCGGACTGTGGACTTGGTACATTCCCCATGGGAAGGCGGACTTTCATTTCATGTGAAAGTGCTTTCAGAAAA